GTAGTGTCTGTGTTTGTGTAGTGGAAGCTGTGTGTGTTTGTGTAGAGGATGTGGTGTCTGTGTAGTGGATGCAGTGTCTGTGTACTGGATGCAATGTCTGTAGTGGATACAGTGTGTGTATTTGTGTACTGGTGTATACTCGATGCAGTGTATATGTGGGCTGTGGGGAGGGGAGCAGTTTTTTTTAATATATAATAATATTTATTAACCCCTTCCTGCTTCTTACCTGTGTGCAGGGAGGGGGGACACGATATTCCCTGGTGGTCCAGTGGCACAGCAAATTGTCCTATGATGAGAGGGCCAAGAGCTAATTTTTCATACCCAACAGGATCAGCTTCTGTCCTCTCGCGAGGTGCTAGAGTGTTTCTGCGAGTTGCCATGGCAATGCCCCAGCGTGCACTGCATGCCGCGCTGAGCGTTGCCAGAGGTGTATATGTTTGTATGTATATGTGAGTGCAAAGGTGTGTGCATGAAAAGTCGGGAACGTGATTGTAAAAGTATGTGTATTGGCAAATATCACTCACTCACACACAATCACACTCAAAAACACATATAATACCTTCAAAAATACACACGAAGCACACTCACAGTTACACCCTGAGGTACACACATAAATACACCCTCACAAGCTCACTGACAAAAAAAACCTCAAAAACACACACACACATACACACACTTACACTCTCACAGACACACAGAGACAATTACACCCTCAAACACACACACACACACAATTACACCTTCAGACATACACACCCTAAGAATAAGTAAAATTAACATGAAATACCTGGGTGCCACTGCCCACTGAGCCCACCTTGCTCCTTAAAATAATCTGTGTTCACTCCTGGCTGAAACTTTCAGCTTCCATCCAGCAGAAGGAGGAATCACAGTGAAAGCTGAATTAAAATAAAGGACAGGGAAGCTCTTCCTCCCTGCTCACCCCTCTCCCTGCCAGACAGCCTTTTACACACAGAATGCAGAACTTTGAAAGACCCGCATGGGCTGCCCGGTTGTGCCTGATTGCCAGGTCATGCTTCCTGTGTGTGCAGGCTGTCAGACAGGGAGCAGCACTACCTCCCTCCCTTCGCTTCTCTCCAGGCTCCTGTTTGCGTGCTCTTTATGTCACACTCGCAAGCAGCATTGTGAGACTGCTGCTCGGGAGTGGAAACACAGTAAAGTGCTGAGAGGGGTGAAAGGCAACATTCAATATAAGTAAATGGTAATTTCTTAAAGCTACAGGCGAAATGCCGCTCCTGTCAAAGTTCCACCTGGAGCCATTGCCCCACCGGGACCAATGGACAGGCCGGCCCTTGCTGCATGTGTCACTGATGATTATACTCACCAGAGTATATTGATTATACTCACCAGAACAAATTCAATAAGCTGTAGTTGTACTGGTGACTATAGTGTCCCTTTAAAACAAAATGCAAAGAAACTCTTCTATTTGGACAATAGTTCCCATGAAAACCAGTAGCTCTGCCTATCAAGTTTCTGAGAATGCCTTTAAATGTTCCCACTGCCTAATTCTGTTAACTCTATTGTTCATTTTGGCCACAAATTCTGAGTGGGTAAAATCTCAGCCTTAGTTAGTTTGTGGTTTATGAAGTTAGACTTTAATGTAACGATACAAGGTTTTCAGCTTCCTGACTATTACAAACGGTTGTACTGTTCCTAAAATAGTAACAGCAATGATAATTGTAATATTGGTTTTCGATGAAAAATATTTTAATAAAACACACCCTTTGAAACAACTTCCCCTCTCGTTATGATCTCTGTTGCTTGATAAGCACAGAATGAAATCACTAAATGTCACAATAGTGCTTCAGGTGTAACGCAAAGTGCTACGATGGGAATAGCTATTAATATCTTAGCTGGTATTGTGAAAGTTTGGCCAGTATTCTAAAGGACTTGGTGACTCAGTTACATTTTTTTCCCTAAACAAAACAATGCAATGTACACCCCAAACCACTAGTAAAATGCCTTCATTACTGTTCCTCTGAAATAATGCTTGCAATTAATACCTATGACAGCTAGATAAATTATAGAACGAGAGAAGGACTGGTACCCAATCATTTGTAGTTGATAACCAAATAGAATAACATATATAGAGTTAGTGACTAGGGAAGGGAGAATGGTCAAGAATTTAAAGTGAATTTCATTCTGAATTCCCAACAATTTTCCCTTTGGTAAATAACCCTGTTAGATAAACTGCTTTATGATTCCATGTGTGGGGTGGGGGAGCTTGTGAATTTCAAAATCAGCCAGTTAGGACCCTGCTACCTGCACCCTTCCTAAAATACCAGATTGGCAGTTCAAAAGAAATGGGATCAATATCTTCTCTTTTCCCTGTTAGGGAAGTAGATGTTACTTGATAAAAGAGGACCTGCTAACATAAAATCCTGCTCATTATTATGAAAAATTGTCTTAATAGCCAATAGTAACTATCAATACACCACAAACTTCAACAAATTCAATATTTCATGTGTACGTATAGAATCATAGAAAATAAAGAGAAAACTAGACATGTGCACCAGTGAAATTTTCATTTCGTACAAATGATTTCGTACTAAATAAAAATGTAATTCGTCCTTGTGAAACCATTCCTACCCCCCCTGCATTGAAACCTATTACCACCATATTAATAAAAGGGAGGTTAAATCCTCCTGCATGCCCCTATTACCGGCATGCCGCTAGTAGGGGCATGTAGCCTAAACAAATGTCAAACTACCAGTGACTGGGCAGCTATTGCTGCCCAGTCGCTAGTACAATAAGGGGGGACCTGGTACAGGTTAAATCCTCCCGAATGCCTCTATCTGTGCCAGGTCCACCCGTGTAGTAGGGGCATGTCGCTTAAACAGTGAGCAGCCAGTGGCTGTTTGCTGTCATTTAAAACTGGATATAAAAATCAGTATCTTATGTACAAGTGATAGAGAGTTACGGTAGGAGTACGTGTAACCAAAAGTTATAGCAAAAACTATAACAAAGTTGCTATATGAAAAAGTAGCTATTTAGATCTAAATAGCTACTTTTTACACGTACTCTTACTGTACTCTTTACACTCATATACAAGATACATTTATATTCAGTTTTAAATGACAGCAAGCAGCCAGTGGCCCTAAATAAATAAATAACGTTCCCCCAGGTCCCCACCCATGACTAGGGGTCCCCAAGCTCAAAGTCATAGTGATCCCCATACTGATTTATATTTAGTTTAAATGACAGCAAGCAGCCACTGTCTGCTCGCTGGTTAGGCGACATGCCCCTACTCGCGGCATGCACAGTGTTATTTTTATTATTATTATTATTATGATATTTATAGAGCGCCGTCAAATTCTGCAGCGCTTTACAATGGGTGGACGAACAGACATGTAGTTGTAACCAGACAAGTTGGACACACAGGAACAGAGGGGTTGAGGGCCCTGCTCAATGAGCTTACATGCTAGAGGGAGTGGGGTAAAATGACACAAAAAGGTAAGGAATGACACAAAAAGGTAAGGATAGTATTAGACTAGTGACAGTTGCAGAAGAGGAATCAGTCAGGAGCTACTAACAGTTTAATTGATACGCTTTTATGAAGAATTTTCCCCATGCTGTTGGGGTTAATTCCCCTGCAGCACAGAGTCTATTAAACAAACTAAACAAAATGAAAAGGTAATGCATTCGGCATTTGCCCTTTCGTTTCATTTATATTTCGTATGTAAGGCTTTCATTTACGTTTTAATAAACGAATACGAAAAAAATTGAATTTTCGGATGAAATCGTATTCGTACGAAAACGAATGCATATGTCGAGATAAAACCTAAAAGCGGAAAAACCACCACCTTATATTAAAAATAAATAACTTACAATAAAAGTTGAAGCTCTAATTAGAGGCTTGACAAGCAAATACAATCCATATAATTCAATCAGCATAGGAATAAAAAAATAACTGAAAACAATATATAAAGCACATAAGGTACATTATTATAAAAAAGTGAGCTAGTTCTCCTTATAACTGTGTGGATGTAATCACTATTCTGAAAAACAGACCAATGTCCTAGAGCTCTAAAAACTATTAAATATCACACCTAGTTCCTCCTGGTCTAGTCAGGAGGTGCTCAAACAAGCCAATGACAGCTGAAATGTATAATGGTAACAAACAGGCGTTAAATAATATTATTATGTAACAGTGTATTCTATGTATAGATTGGAGAAAAGACAAGACAGGGAGAATATGATAGAAACATTTAAATACATAAAGGGAAACAACACAGTAAAGGAGGAAAAATGACCACAATAAGAGGACATAGTCTTAAATTAAACGGGCAAAGGTTTAAAAATAATATCAGGAAGTATTATTTTACTGAGAGGGTAGTGGATGCATGGAATAGCCTTCCAGCTGAAGTGGTAGAGCTTAACACAGTGAGTGAGTTTAAGCATGCATGAGATAGCCATAAGTCCAGGGACTAATGAAAATATTTAAAAAATTGGGCAGAATAGATGGACCGAATGGTTCTTATCTGCCTTCACATTCTATCATATACATGTTTAGATTTGTGTATTCCCTTTAAGCAAAAAGCAATTATGTAAGCAACTGCAAAAAATGCAGTGTTTTTCAACAAAGACGCATCACCCAATTGTCATGTATCTGGTGGGACTGTCCCAATGCCAAATCATAAATGTGGCACTTGTAAAATTACATTAGATAAAAGGTGCAGTGAAGCCTACTTTTACGTCTTTGATCAGGCTCCATGAAGTCTGTTAAATATTTGTTGCCAAGTCACTTGTCACAATACTATCTCTATCATGCGATCATAGAAGGAAGCTAAACTCAAAGTGTTCCAGTTTGTCTTCTTTTTTTCTTTTTAGTTAAAGGAACATTGACTTATTCATTTTCACTGGCTCCATGAACCAATATATTCTTATTTGTGTCTATTTTGTATTGTTTTATTTTTTTCACTTGGAACGTCTGACAAATTATGGTATGACATATCTGCCTAAGAGGCTTCCGTGAAGTGTACATTTAAATTGAAACCAGCTTTCAGAGCCATTACAAGTGTTCCTAATGTAATGGCTCTGAAAGCTGGTTTCAATTTAAATGTACACTTCATGGAAGCCTCTTAGGCAGATATGTCATACCATAATTTGTCAGACGTTCCAAGTGAAAAAATAAAACAATAAAAAAATAGACACAAATAAAAATATATTGGTTCATGGAGCCAGTGAAAATGTATAAGACAATGTTCCTTTAACTAAAAGGAAAAAAGAAGACAAACTTTTTTTTCTTCCTGGAACTCTGATTTAAACTATGATGTAAAGTCTACGTATTATTTCAAACCCTTCATCCAGAGAGCTCAGGTGCTTATTTACAAGTTTTTTCCTTTTGCTCTTTAATTAACCAAATCCATCCGGGTACATCGGTCAATCCACACAGTTGTGCTGGGAAACCATGTGTCGAGTTACCGTAGAAACCTTGTTTGTTTGCATGAGATAAAAGCCATAAAGAGCTGTGCATCCATAGCCAGCTGTTACTGCTTTTCACTTGCCAGCAACATGGATAAATAAAATTAAATTGTATTTATTTAATCTCGCCACTCATGACTCTGTGCAGAAGATAATTATATGAAAAGGTGTACTGCTTTCTACATTTGTACTCTGCAAGCTTAATTGTGATCAGGATTTGTAACAAATTGGCTATTGTAATCTTTTGACTATTGTAACCTTTTTATATTTAATTTGTGCTACTAATTTTATTTAAGTACTTCATTTTTAAAAATGCTAATATAATTATGTATTTGAGTGTGAAATTGGAGCATAGCAAACCTCTTGACGCATGCAGCTGGAGGTCATTGCACAAACATACACTGTCATGCATTATATGCACATTCATACTGCCCAATATTTAGGTTTTATATTAGGAGTATTTTAAATTTTCATTTTATGTAGGCACCTTACTAGGAAAAGATCTTTTGCTTACGACTTTTAATGAGGTTCTCTGTTCACAGTGTTCTCTGTCTTGTGTTCTGAGAAAAATTGCAAAGCATGTTGTGTCAGGTGAACCTTGACAGATAATATGAACCAAGTTAAATTGACCATATAGCGACCCTAGGCAGCCGCATAGGGCCCAGGGGTGATGGACTTATGAATTTGCTTGGTCCCAATAACCATCCCTATGTGAAGAATGAAGGGGGCCCCAAACTGGTAAGCTGCCTCGGGCCCTGTAATATTTTAATCCTTCGCTGAATAGAGAGCAGCCATGACTTCTGGAAGTAGAATAGTTATAACATAACAATTTAATTAAATAACTCCTCATCTATATTATTGATGGTTCAGTGTTGAATACAGTATGTAGGGCAGTGGTTCCCAAACCAATCCTCACGACCCAGCAACAATTCTGGTTTTGTCAGTATCCCCATTGGAATAAAAAAGGGAAATACATAAATCCTGCATTGTTGATGGGCCATGAGGGCTGGTTCGGGAAGCACTGTTGTAGAGAGAAGGTTAATGGATTTGAAGAAAGGGGATCTATAACACACATGACATTGCTGTAAATATATCATTGTAAGTAGTTTTCATCGCCACAAAAATCCTTGTCAATAAATATCATGGTGTGATGGTTTGCCCCAACACACTATGAGCCAGACAAAATGGTGAATTTCCACCTTAAAAGAGAGTGAGGTAAGGGGCGGAGGAACTGGGTGTGACCAGCATGGCCACTGGAAGCACATTGCAAGACCTCCTAGCCTGACACGGGGGTTTCTTGACTAACTCCCAACACCCCAATCTGCCTAATCTGGGGACTGATTATCACCCAAACAACCCTGGAAATTTACTGACAGCTTCCACAGAGTGCCCAAAACTCACCTGTCTGGTGGATCCCGTTAAGGCCTATCAATCGGTCAGATAGGGGGAGGCGGCCGCTCTCCCGCTCTGCAGCATTGAGCCCTCAGGCACCTCATCTTTTCAATCAACCCCCCCACCCCCACCCCCTTTGGACCAGCAGCGGTCATCCTTGTCCCACTGACCTGCATAAGTACATCTGCAGACAGCTCCAACCTGTACCAGAGTCAGCTCTGCCTGCAATCATCTCTCCCAAGATGGCGGAGGAGCACACCACTCATGAACTCAGGCAAACACAGACTGCACTAAACCGGCATTACTCTGTGGAGCAGTCGCTATGGCGGCTGGAAGACCTTTTTGATCGCTTCTTGTGAACTATTGCGACCCGCTCGCTTACACTACTTCCTCAGCAAACAAAGGAGGCCCAGAAGGACACCTCTAGGCAAAGCCTCTTGCACAGACCAACATGCCTCACAATGGCTACATTCACCTACCTAAGAGGCTCCCGCCCCTCCCCCAGCGAAAAAAGACAACTCCAGGCGCAAGGAGCACCCAAAAAGGTCGGATACGTCCGCCACATCTCCTAATGTCTCATGCTGAACGCAACCTACCATCGGGCCTACATAAGCAGAGGCAATATCCTGTACTTCACTGAGAGGCTGTGAAATCAGGAGGACCACCAAAGCTGCAGCATGGCACATCTCCACACTTTAGCCTGTTGCTCCATCTACCTCCTCTTGGTCTCTTAAGCTACCTCAGACAACATGTATGGGACACTTGCCTTCCATCCAGGGGCATCGGCTGAGCGGGTTTGTGAAAAATCAGCAGATTCCCCATAGTTATACCAGCTCTATGGGCTAATACTCTGTAGTATTGCTATCTAAGTGCTGTGCTATGATTGCAATTAATGGCTGATCCCTATTAACACTGTCTAGTTGTTGGTTCCTAGCTGCATTCTACTTAATTTGTTTTTTGTATACGTACTCTCAAAGGCAGCATGCTAATGCCATACACTAACACTGCATGCCTGGATATAAGTTGAACACTATTCCTGTTGTGCTTGTACCCTGGTCATATATTACAACTAATTATCTGCAACAATTTACGCTAGCCACGCAGTGGTATTTACAATCTTGAATGTTATCGCTAATTCTGCACGATATTGTTGCAAAATCTTTCTCTGCTTTCGTCACATGGTAGAATTGTGAAGCCTGTTTATTTACCCCAAAAATTATGCTGACTTATCAAATGTCATAACACTGTTTATCTGAAATTGTCCTTAAAAGCTTGTACCTGTTGTTGTGACATTACAAGTCTGTATGTTACTCTAAGCACAGAAAAATAAAGAATTATAAAAGAGAGTGAGGCAAGTCAGGAAGGGACAGCATTATCCCTACGATAGACAGGACGTCCAATTCTGGGGTGCTTTTTGGGTGCTTTTTTGTAGACTGCAAGAAGGTCTGTGCATCAGTCTCAACTACACCAATAGAGGTTTAACGGTACTGGATTGCATTAAATATCATGAAATACGTCAATTCAGTATGCAAAAAAGGAATTGTAAACAAACGCCCTCCACGTGTAGTATATGCGCTCTGATGTGTAGTCTATGTCACATTCTGCACAAGTGATACATATCTAGGAAAATATGTATGGTGTGGCAAGTGAAGTTGAAACCACAGCAGATACAGTCAGAGACCATTTTATATATTTTAATCTGTTAGGAAAATTAGGTATACTGTCTTATGAAATACCCCCAAAAAGTTGTCATGGAAAAGTAACAATTCATCTTAAAAATCTGAATTTAATGTCAGGTCAGTTTGGTTTCTCTGATGCTATAATCACGATTTATTTCAAAAAGAAAAAAGCAAACTATAGCATCAGTAAAATAATGTAAACATTATATTGCAGTCTTGGCGATGGTATTATAGACTTAAAGTTGGGTGGTAGCAGTAAGAGACTCCTTCAGCTGTTTTCTGATTGACTGAAGTACTTGCTGGCATCAATCACACCTAGATCATATTTAGGAGGTTCCATCAGTGTAGCAGTGTTTACATATTTTGGGCTGAATAATTATTTTTAATTTTTGCATCTATCAAAGTAAACGTTATAAAATATCTACTGTATATGTGCTAATACAGACATTGTCTTGGACAAATGTGTGACAGGTTGGTTACAGGAAATGTTTTATAGTTTGCCATTGTCAAATTTTATGGACTCCTAAAAAATAAAATATATATATCTTTTTAACCTAAAAAAAATAAAATACATTGATTGATCGGTAGGTAGCAAGGTAAACAGACAGGTCAATCAGTATATAGATTTTGGAAATAGGCTTGTTATTTTAGAGTTTGATGTGGACAGCCGTATCCTAAGCCTTCATTTCTTCACCATTTATTTTAACACTTGAGGAAGCAGGTTAGACCAGGTTTGGCTGTAAGGAATTGGCTGTAAAAGATTCTTAATGGTATTCTCAGAGTGATGTTTCTTCTCATTAAAGTGTATGGATTCAGGGAAAAAAATGCATTACACGAATTTCACCCAGTAAAAAAGCACTGAGGCTTTCTCTTTCCTGCTCTTAATGGACTTGAATGTCATAATGATCGCTGAACTGAATGAAATCATATTTGATCTTCTCCATGCCCTCACTTTCTTACTTTACATTGTCACTACACAAAGAGACAATGAAAAGTCCAGATTTGTGCCCCCTTGTTTTATTTGTTGACATTTCGATTCTCCCCATTGCCTTCACCATGCATAATCCTTCAAGCTATGAGGAGAAAAGCCAGAAACAAACAGAATATGCTCCATGATAGCTAATGCCAGATGGGAGGAAGAAGAAGGGAGGGCTAGGGGAAATTTGTCGTAATGAGGTTGTCATGGGAACTCAATTCTATTTATCCATTTTTCCTTCCCTGCAAAGCACCTTCATTGATGTTTACCTGCAGCACCTTCAGATGTTGATACCTTAGCTTAATCCTATATGTTATCATATTTTTTTTATTTTACCCCAACTTTGTCACAGTTTGCATGTTCTAGTCTTCACAAAGTTGCTGTGAATTAACACACACTTTTGTGTCCCCTTAGCATAAATAATAATTAAGAATATTAAGTTGTTCAGGTGATTTGAAACTCTCTGTGAACAATTAAAATATTTCAGAGGTCTTCCAGGAGACATTTAATGAAGACTAAGAGGTGAGGAAGGGAAAAGTAGTGGTGTGTCCATTTTCTAATTACTAAGAACTAACGGGCTACTTTGTGTC